TTGGAAACATCAAACAGCAGAAATTTAGTGTAGCATACGTTCCTAATATGCGGAATCACAAGCTAAATTACCCTTAATTGGCTAAAATTTCCACGAAGATAACGAACGAGTAGACACCTAAAACTGCGGTCCGATCATCATAATCGTCCGTACACATAAACGGAAGCTTTAGAATCCAGAAACATCGATAGAGAAAAACTAACCATGATCGAGATCTATCTCCAAGGTCTTGATTGTGGTAATCTGCATCTGTTCCTCGACGGAAACTTTTGCAGCGTGATCTTCCACATCTGACCTCAACAGGTTGGAATCAAAAGCGAATCCACAAAAAAAATCAATAGATACAACAAACAATCGCCGCATAAAATTCCGGCGAAAAAACGGAAAAATCAAAAGCGAAGAGGAAGACTATACCGTTCATTTGAGAACGAAGAGTCTTCATATACTGTAAATACTCCTCCATCTCTTCTTCTTCACTCTCCGTCGCTTTTGAGAACGATTCAAAGCACAGGAACCTGATAAAAAAAATTCCAGAAGATTTCGAAATCAGATCTTCGTACGAATTTTGAAGAGCAATAACAAACTTCAAGCGAGCGTTCACCTTCTGGGAAATTTTTCGAAAAGGGGAAGAGATTTGTAAGTGAGAGGGAAAAACTTATACCAAAACGAAAGTAGTAGAGATTTTGGATTTTAAGGAACAAAATTATGATCGGGTCGACCCACTTTAGTGGTTTGGACTTTTAAAAGCCCAATTAAAAACTCTATTAAGGCCCATTATACCGTTTACCCGAACCCGGTTCCGTGAAGCGGTGGAATAAGAGAAGCCGATGTGAGCATTTGAGGTATCAAGTGAACATTATCCTTTCAAATTCCATTCAAGTGTTGATTCGATCACTAATCTGAAGTGTTATTTCGCTGAGAAATTCATCGATTTTTTTGAAGAAACTGCGATGGCGATATCGAAGATTAGGTTGAAAGCTTGGTTCAATAAGAAGATCAGCGATCCTCTTGTCGAAATCTTGCGCAGGTTCTTTAATTTGCCTTTCTTCATGTTCTTTGAATTCAAATCGGAGCTTTTTTATGTCTTGTTGTGATCAATAAAGCTGGTTACTTGTTCATCGATACAGTGTGATGATCCATTTCTCTTTACTTGAGGAATGGAATCAAATACATGACTTGTGCTACTTCTATTACTGTTTTGATTTTCATTACGAAAATCTGACCACATGGTATTATTGCTTAGTCGTTGGTTTCTTATGTGTTAACACTAGAGAAAAAATCGAACAGTTTATGTTTAACCATGTAGCTTGGAAAAGACTCGATTTTTTTCTCATATTCTGTGTGATGAAAGTGCTGATGCTGTAGACCAAGATTGATTTGGTTCTTTTTTCGATTTTCTTTAGAGGTGCTGAGCCAAAGCAGCTGGCTTTCTCTGCGGCACTTGGCATTACAATGGGAGTATTTCCAATTTGTGGTACGTTCTCGGTGCCTCTTTCTGTTTCCTCAAGATAAAGCTTTTTGTTTGGCTCGAGTAGTTTGCTTGCTCTCAGAACATTATAGTGTTTGTGATCTCAAAGTATTTCACTCAAGAGTGTTCTTTGCGTTTGTTATAGGTGTTACGGTGTTGCTATGTGGAGTGGCTATTGCGTTGCTTGGATCTCTTTGTCATGCTCCAACTGTGATGTTGGCTAATTTCATTGCTACTCCAATAGAACTAAGGTGAAC